CAGGGTAATTTCCTTTTACTTTCACTTAAAGCAATGTCGTAATTATTTAAGATGACAAACTTTTCACAAAATCAGTTTTTCCAAACCTTATATTGGCAAATAATCGATAATTCCGCTAGTGTATAAGAGTCTTCATTAGTCCTATACCATATTGTCTTTTTCATAGTTTATCCCATTGTTCTTTCTGTACACAATATCGCAGATTGCGTAGTGAACTTTTGACATCGCACAGTGTTAGTCGATATTCCATTCTTACAGAAAGCGTAGTCGATTTTTAGCAAATATTCGATGCTTAAAGAAATCGTTGTCGATTTTTAGCAGATATTCCATGATTACAGAAATCGTAGTCGATTTACAATTAGAAATGTATTTCCGACCAGAAATCATTTAACCAGCGCATTTTAACGAAAAAACTGTGAATAATAGTTGTTGGATTCGCTTTTAACTGCTAGCTCCTTCAAGCTACTGTGTTAACTGAAGGAAAGTTTGGAACAAACAAAATACTTTGTCTAATAGAGGTTTGTTAACTTTGCTTTGAATGTAACTGAAAAGCAATTGTTCAGTGAAACAACTAACAGAAAAAGCTGATGATTTTGTATGAAAAGAGAACAATAACAATAAGATAAAATATGAAAAAGTGAATAATTGATCATTACTTCAGCTGCATTTCAATATTTCTGAAGATTTTGTGAGCTTTAGACTTAGAAAAGTGGTATAATTAACGAGGGCGGGTAATCTTCAAGTTACGCGCTTCGAGTTACGGTTTTTTTCGAGTTACGCAATTGACCACGCCCAAATTTGCCTCGGTCACGTCCAGCGCATAAAAACCTCGTTGCAAATGCAATCTCTGTACAAGTCTATTCTTTAATTTACAAATAATTTTTTTGAAATATCAGTCTCAAAAGCAACATTAAATCCAAAATAAATCGCGGACGTTAAAGGGTTAATGGTATATAATGTTATCTACTTCTAGCTCCCGATTGTGCTCCAAAAATAAAATCAGTCAACGCCCTGTCTTCCACAAGTATCCGAGTGACATGGGACCCACTTCCAAATACCAATTGCAGGAATGGAATTCTGAGAGGCTACAAAGTCTTATATAGAAGACCTCGTGACCGATATTGGCAAGCATCCAATGTTGGCCCTGCCGTCAAATGGAAGGACATCGAAAGTCTTCAAAAGTATACAACGTACATGTTCAAGGTTGTTGCATATACTGTCAAAGACAGCGAACCAAGCAAAACAATAACAAGAAAGACATCAGAAGATGGTAGGTTGTTTTTTATACAAACTAATGTAGGGATTTTTCAGCTTACGACAAAATCTCAAAAAAATCTCTCCTTAATGGTATATTAAAGGGTTATTAACCGAACACGAGGTCTGTACAGAAAGATATCGGACCGAGGTCTCGACAGTACGGACCGAAGCCGTAGGCCGAGGTCCGTACATTAGAGACCGAGGTCCGATATTTTTCTGTTCAGACCGAGCAAACGAGGTTAATAACACTTTTATTATATGACTTTTTTCTACATCGGAAAAGCAAACTGTAAACAGCACGCGAATATCGATTGGACTATCGATTGGTCCAACTGAAGCAAGCAAAGCACATGGAATCAAATTGTCAAAAATGTGTGGTTTTTACACCAAAAACAGATTGTTCTGTTATAAAAACAATTCTAAAATGAATTGCCATCAATGTCACAGAAGAACAATCATTTAAATGTCTCGAAAGATACTTATTTCGTGGAAAAACAACAATCGTGGGTCTTTCATCTAGTCAAAGCACAACGAAAACAAACAAGTCAGTAAGCTTTATCTACTTTATCTACAATCAAATCGTTTTCAATCTTCATCGKCGCTTTCAGTGATAGCATTTCGACGCCTTTCCCCTTTACCGTCACTGGACCTTTGGAAATCTTGAAGTTACATGTACATTCAGTGATGCTGTGAATTTCTAACCTGGGTTTTATTTCACGAAGCGCCTTCTCGTCTTCATCTCTTAGAGATTTCGTCCTTTTCCGCTATTTACAAGGGTCTTCGCTTTACTACAAGAACGGTTCTTTACGTGTTAAATTCCTTGTCTTTGAAGATGTTTAGTTAGGAGCCATCCTCTTCAAGTTGTCGCTGCATGCTTCTTTGAAATCTGCTTTGAAAGCGATTTCATTTTCATGAACTGAATGGTCTGATAGCACTCCACCGGAAAGCTGTTCACTCTCAGTAATATCTTTTTCAATAGATTGATACTTGTATAAAATGTTTATTAGACCTTGTTTTTCGTATTGTGATTTCGCCTTCTAGTTTTCTACAAACAACTGTCAAAACAACAACTCCTTGGCTCGGAGTTTGAACTTCGCTTCGGATGTGGCGTTTTCATGCATGTTTTCCTCAACTCAAATTCGTCAGAATAATAAAATTTGCTTGAAAAATATTCTTCCTCGTCATTCTTAATTTTTCTTTGCTTGCTTCTCGTATAGTTATTCTCAAATTCAGTTCAAAAAAATCAAATCTTGTGCCTTGAAAAATGTCAACAAACGGGCGCTCGGGATGTGACTTTCGGACCGTTGTCATGGTAATCGGTCGGAGATGGCAAAATATCGCCCTCGCGTGAGCCAATCAGAACACGTGTACTATCCAAGTCATATAATAAAATGTTATCTACTTCTAGCTCCCAATTGTCCTCCAAAACTGAAATCAGTCAACGCCCTGTCTTCCACAACTCGAGAAGCAAGAGAAACACTCGCTAAGCTCGTGTTCCTAAGCTTGCTTTTCTCGTGTTTTTCGAACTCCCACCGTGTTTATATCAGAGGACAGAGACACAAGCGGCCGTTTTATATTTCTTAAATAATATTGATATCTACAGTACCAGAAGGAAAACCATCACATGTATCTGCAACACCAAAGTCATCAACAAGCATTGAAGTAACATGGAAGGTATACTTCTTAGTAAAAACCAGTCGTATGACTTCCATATATGGACGTCCCTATGAATGGTTCGCATGCACATATAGAAGTCTGTCAAATCCCTATAGAAGGTTCTGTAATTACTTATTCAATATTACGTACATACACGTCGTTATTCATGAGATTTATTACCTATTCCAAAAATATCACACGAAATTCACGTTCCTTCAAGCTGAATTAACTCATTATTTAATGGTTAGATAAATGGCTTAGACGATACTCTATTTTGAAGTTCCAAGTGCTATCTTGGAAGGTAGCCAAGCCTTTGCATCAAAGCGAGACAGAAGCTGAGAATGCTTGGCCTGCAGTGGTAGATACCTTTTTTCATAGCAAAGACAATTATTCACTGGTATCTATCTTTGCAAGCTCAACTTCTGTCTTGCTTTGATGCAAAGGCTCGTTAACCTTTCAAGATGGCGCTTCAAACTGTAAAATGGAGTATTCATAAGGATGGGTTCTAGTGATTTTCATCATAGTTAGTATAGGGGAAATTTCCCCTCTACTAACTATGTTTTCATTAACATATTGTAAGATGAAATGCACTGAAATGCAGAAAATTTCACCATTCAATGATTTACTTTAAACAGAATCAGGTCGCAGAGAATCAGAAATTATTGTGTCAGGCGTCATAGGCACTTAAACATGTAGAACATCTATCCAATTTCACCTCAATATTTTCTAGTTGCCACGTTGGGCAAAATTCAACGGACCTTCAACTGGCTTTAGAATTACATACACCGACGCACGAAGAATCAAAAAGACAAAACTCGTGAGAAACGTCAGAAAAGCCTTACTGACCAACTTGAACAAGTGGATGACATACAGTATAACTGTATCAATGTGGAATTCAAGATATTATGGCACTGAAAGCAGCATCGCAACAGCAACCACAAAAGAGGATGGTAATTATGTTGGATACAATGAAAAGAAATAAGAATTGTTTATAGAAATTAGATAGTGCCCTGGAGCTTGATAAGGAAATTATAGAATCTTTAAATCTGAGCGTATTTAGTGAGGGGTCGCTCAAGGGTGATTTGGTAAACCCCCAATCAAATTTGGCATAATAATTGCAAAATGACTGATCTCAACGTCCATGCAGTGTGAGGACTAGTTTATCAGTTAATTATAAGTGTATAAAACGTGTTTAGTGATTCTTTGCGTTTGAATAATATATTTCAATGCCGTCATATTGATGTGCAGTCTGCAGTGTATTTTTATGCTGTGGGTTTATTTTGAACGTGGATTTAAGTCGCTGTAACTCAAGTTGAAATATTTGCCACTGACTCAAAATGACTTTTCTTAAAAAAAGGCTTTTTACAAAGTAGCAACTTTTCTTACTATTTTAACTATCATTGATTGCATTTTATTATGTTATCAAATTAGTGCCTGACATCGCACCACAAGGCATAGAAGTGACAGAGCAAAACAAAACCACCTTTATCATTGCTTGGCAGCCCTTGCCTAGGAACAAAGCTAATGGCAAAATCACAATGTACAAGATTGTCTGGGCCTTACGTCACATTGGACGAGCTAAGAGAATGGCAGTTGGTGACACTTTCACTGGGACAACAAAGGGAACCCAATTTGTTTTGCTCGGTCTTAGACTTTGTGCACAGTATGAAGTTCATGTTGCGGCTGCAACGATAGCTGGCTTAGGTCCAAATGCTACTCAAGGTGTTACCACATCAAGTAAGTACTATTAAAATATCCCCTAAGAAGCTTTCTTAACAGTCTATCATACAACATTAGCTAACTTAGCGTATCTAAGG